TGGTCTTCAGTCTGAAAAAGTTGTTAGTTTCCTGTCGAGTAAACGCGCGAGCTACGCGAACTCTGCCAGTGTGTGGTTTGGAGCTTAATTTACGTGAGCACTGTATGAAAATCGTCCATATCCAGTGAGCACTACATGCTAGAAGCCGTTTCCCTGCAAGCAAAACGATCGATGTGGATCTCTACCATGGGTCCACAGCGTGGAAAATTCGAAATTCACCATCTTTGATCCCATAATAAAGACCATATTCTTTTCAGTTCGTGGAGAAAAGAAGTGAAAAGTAGATTTTGCCTTAAAGAATCATATATCTTCATAAAGGTCGAGTGTACACGATGACGGTCGATGGACAGAAACCTCTGTCGTCGAACGATGTCCTCAATAGATCGAGCTACGAACGTCTGCGTCGAGCTGTCTCGAGATTGTCTGGAGTTTTAAGAATCTGAGAAGCAACCTGTTCGATACTCACGTGGAAAATAAAGATTTTCGACTCGAGAGAATTTAAGAAACCACAAATTCTACATGAGAAGACCTCTATTTGGGATATGTTTAGGTCGTTCAATACTCTTCATACGTGAGGAAGAAGTTGTAATTGTTGTCACCTACTAGAAGTTTCTATTTCATATTAAAAAAACAAAAAATACATGGAGAAAAAAAGCGCACGGTACCGGATGTATGATTCAATGTGCCCCCAACTTGGAAATTCTTCACTTTTGATTCCATCAATCATGTTATATAGTGTTTATGGTCTTCAATCGTCAGTGTAGTCTCTGTTACCCCACCAAAACCAAATTAACAAAGCCGCTGCAACTTGAATTCGAAGCGAAAAAAGACAGACAATTTTGGGAGCAGATTCAATCCTTGCACTCCCGAGTCTTATGATATGGAATTATTACCAACAGCAAATTGTCCCAATAAAGAAGATGGGTCGAGCTCATATTACTTGTTCTAATCTTCTTATTTGAGTAGAATTGGGTTAGTTAGATATTCAAATCTCGTTAGAATAGAAGACCTAATCATATAAATACCAACACCAAAGAATTGTAAAGGGTTGTGTCCATTATATTTAGTTATTGACAATGTGAAATTATTTTTTTATCTAATAAAAGTTTTCAGTGTAATTGAGATATCATGTTAATTATGTTTCAATTTAGTGGTAACTTGACATTGCATCCTATATCAAGACACACACAAAGTTAATAGGAAGTAAAATTGAAGATAAATTTTAGAGTTTTGACAATTATTTTTTTCTTACAATGGACTAAAATTATATAAAATAAATGAAAACTTTAAAGATAAAGATAAAAAAAAATAAAGAGTATTAACTTTATTCACAAATTTTCAATAGTTTAAAGGTTAAGAGCCAGGGCCTCTAGCTCAACCCGTGCCAGACTTAAATTGGTTAAGAATTCAATTTGAGAAACCAATTGATTATTGAAACAAAGCTGAAGTGTTAGATTCTAACCCAATAAGCATCTCTTTTGGGGACTAACCAAGAGGGCGAGAGAAAAAAACATATGACAATTGTAGCTTAATTGAAGCTAGACTCTTCTACACCCTTGTCTCTATACTTGAAGAGGTGAGGACTTCCTGGAGAAAAACAGGTGTGTGTAACACGAGGTTTTAACAATTGGCCAAAGGGTTAGGTCACAAAAACAAAAAGGTTTACTCGCAAAAGAAAAAGATTATAAATAAGAGTGTTTAATTTTGCTGTTTGTAAAATACAACAACCATTGCTGCTTCCATGGTTCGCAGGATGCCGAAACCCACAGCGAGAAGCAAGGTTCTACGGACTGGATCAAAGGTGAGGAATGCAAATGTGACAACCAGCGAGAGTTCTCTTCCTTCCAGACTGCCGATGTATGATCGGGGACTCTTGAAAAATGCTACCTCCTACCTGTTCTCCGACTTCCCCGAGAACTGGTCTTCGAAGAGACTCTGGTTTCTGTTTGCAACCTATGGTGCTGGATTAGGACGGATTGTGGACGTATTCATACCCAGAAAGAAGGACAGGAAAGACAACAAGTTTGGCTTTGTCAGGTTCTCAGAGGTCAGAGATAAAGCCAGGTTAGAGAAGATGCTCAAGATGATCTATTTTGGTATAGAACAACTCAGGATCACTCTCGCAAATGAGAGAAAACCACAGCAACCAGTCTTTAACCCCCTCCCCCTCGTCCATTACCACCTCCACGACCACCTAGAACTCTTAAAAAGAAATCCTATGTCGAAGCCTTACAAAATGGCCTTAACCTCCTAGATTCTATTAGCCAAACACAAAGTCCTAACACCATACCCCCAGCCTGTCCACTAGTAACTGAGCAGAATAAGAGCAAAACGAAGCTAACATTGAATGTGGAAGATGACATGGAGGACTCCAGTTGGCTCAACAGTTGTGCTCTCGGGGAAGTTCTCTCCCCTGATCTTATTCCTGGCCTCCAACAAACCTTCTGGGAGAGCGGTTTTTCTCACATCATGACTACGCCAATGGGGGGATGTAAAATTCTGTTACAAAGTGAGACTTTGGAAAAGATATCCAGATTTATAGAGGAAGAAGAAGTTTGGTGGAGCAAGTGGTTCCGCAGAATCAAGCTTTGGAGTCCATTAGATATAGCCGATGAAAGATTTGCCTGATTTAGAATTACGGGCCTTCCTCTTCAAGTTTGGAATCAGAATACGTTTGAAAGGATTGGGAATAAATTAGGCAGTTTCATTAAGTTGGATCCTCATACTGCCAATAGATTATGTCTTGATGTTGCTAGAGTTCTTATTACAACTACTAAAACAGACCAAATTGAGCAGGATATCTATCTAAACAACCGAGGGCATTTCTATCTATTAAAAATCAAAGAAGAAAGATGAAGGACAGATCCATGGTGGCTAAAGTCGTCCCAAGTCTATGATAGTGACATGCCCAATTCTAACAATCACACCGATTCAGATTTCGATCAAATTTCCGATGGATGGAACACGGCCTCCGAAGATGAAGTAGAACAGCTGTCGCATGCTGATAATGGTCACTTTTGTGATCTAAGTGAACTGCCAGCTGGTGCTGATAGTCACGAGGAAAAAGCTAAGTCTAGCAATAAATTGGGGATTTTGGTGAATGATGCAAGAGGAAACACTAAAGCTTCTGTGTCAGATTTAGGTGGCAGTAATAGAGTGCAAAACAGTATAGGTGCCCAACCCTCCTCTGACTCCTACTCAGGTGTTAATGGATCAAAGAACCAAAATGGACAAAACACTCCAAAGAAGGCCCAGGTCAACCCAATCCAAGTCTGTAACCCTTTAGGCCAAGATATTGTCTCAAGAGTCTTGGCCCAAGATCCACTCGAATCTATTCCTTATCGAGATGCAGAATCGACCCAAAGCCTTGACCATCTGCAAAATGTTGAAACCCTCATATGTGTCACAAGGTTAAATCGTGGAACAAGAAAGAGAGTTTCCAAGCAAACAAAGAGATGTAGGAAACAGCTACTCAGATCTAAGCAGCTGGGGCCTTCTTTATTAGACAGCTTCATGGAAAGAAAAAGTAGAAGATCAACAAAAGAAACTGAAGAATTGGATATTAGAAAATTTGTGGAATTTGGAAAGCGATTGGGACTCTGTTTTGTTGGGAATGAAGAGCTCTTTGCTGCTAAGTTTTGCAAACTGGAGGAGCAAGATTTGGGGCAACAATCGCCTTAGATTCCTTTCCTTCCCCACTACCAGATTCTTTTTTACAATGAACATAGTCACATTTAACACTTGTGAACTTGGTGATAGCATCAAGAGGAGAGAGTTGAGGAGAGTATGGTTCACTAGGAATGGGTAAACTTACTAATGATTCAAGAAACAAAAGCTGAAATTGATGATGAGCAGCTATGCAGATTGATCTAGGGGTAGGATAATTTTGATTGGTGTGCCAAAAGCTTAAGTGGTAGGCCAGGCGGCCTATTGTGTATATGGGACTCCAATCTTTTCGAGAAGACTCGGGTTATTGAAGGTGAGAGTTTCCTAGGAGTTGAGGGTTTATGGGGTACAAACAAAGCTACCTGCTGCTTTGTGAATGTCTATGGTCCATGTAATGTAGCGGGTCGTGCAAAGCTGTGGGAGGATCTTTCAACCCTTATTGGAACCCAAAACTACTTCTTCTGTCTTGGTGGCGATTTCAATTGTGTCAGAGGTCAGCATGAAAGACAAGGTAGAATGACCTCCCACTCGGGATCTGATGACTTTAACCTATTTATTGGAGCCAATTATCTTGTAGACCTTCCTTTATCACGCAAAAAGTTTTCATGGTACAAGAGTGATGGGTCAGCACATAGTAGATTGGATAGATTTCTTCTATTAAAAAACCATATGGAATGTTGGGGAAATTGCGTACAATTAGCATTAAAAAGAAGTATCAGTGATCACTGCCCCATTAGTCTTGCCTCTGACATCCATAATTGGGGACCAAAACCTTTTAGGTTTATAAACAGCTGGTCTCTGCACCCTAAATTTAATCATTTGATTGAGAAGTTATGGAGCTCTTTTGAAGTAGAAGGATATTGGGGGTTTAAATATAAAGAAAAGCGTAGAAGGCTTAAGCAACACCTGAAGAAATGGAACAATGAGGTGTTTGGTAATATTGACAATCAACTTGAATAGGCAATAAAGAAAGTTGATTTTGTTGATCTAAAATGTGAGGCTCAGGATCTTTCAAAAGAAGATTTGCTCAAAAGAAAGGATGGCTTCGAAGAACTATGGCTTTGCTTAAAAAAGAAAGAAAGCTTGTGGAGACAAAAATCTAGGGTTACCTAGATCAAAGAAGGGGATGCAAACACTCCCTATTTCCATAAATTTGTTAACATTAGGAGAAAAAAGATTATGCTTCATGGGGTTAACAATCATGGCTCATAGATTGATGACCCTATTCAGGTGAAACAGAGTGTTTTTGACCACTTTAAAAGCCAATTCTCATCATAGTCTACCCAACAAGTACAACCATCTCCTGACCATTTGCAGTTCTACCGATTAACAAAGGAGGATAGAATATTGTTGGAAGTAGAGTTTACAGATGACGAAATTAGAGAAGCAATCTCTTCCTGTGCAAGTGACAAAGCCTCGGGACCTGATGGATTTAATTTTCACTTCATTAAGTCAGCTTGGGGAACAGTAGGAACTGATATGATCAACTTCATCAAAGAATTCCACCATAATGGAAAGTTGGTCAAGGGAATTAATTTTTCATACATCACACTTGTGCCTAAGAAGAAAAACCCCACCTCCTTGAAGGAATTTAGGCCAATATGTACAGTTAGGTCCATATACAAAATTTTGGCTAAAGTGCTTACAAATAGGCTCAAGAAGGTAATTGGTAAGATTATTAGCACTAGTCAATCTGCTTTTATTAAGGGTAGACAACTTGTTGATTGTGCCTTTACCCTTAATGAGATTGTGCATGACTTGAAAACTAAAAGGAGGAACGATATTATATTCAAGGCTGATTTTGAAAAAGCATTTGGCTCTGTGGATTGGGGATGTCTACATACCATGCATTCCCTTTTGGGTTTTGGAGAGAAATGGCGAAGTTGGATCAAAGAGTGGTTAATATCAGCTTCAATCTCAGTCGTAGTTAATGGTAACCCTACCAACGAATTCAATATGCAAAGATGTTTGAGACAAGGTGACCTCTTTTCACCTTACTTATTCCTTATTGCTGCTAAAGGTTTTCATGCTTTTCTCCTTGAAGCAAAAAAACAAGAGGTCTTTAAAGGAGTGGTGATTGATGAGGAAATTTCTATTTCTCACCTCCAGTTTGCTGATGACACTGCTCTAATTTGTAACGCCTCTATTAACTCCAACTTGGCTATCAAGTATACCCTGAGATGGTTTGAAATTATTTCAGGCCTCAAAATCAATTTTAATAAAAGTGTGTTATTCGGGGTCAATGTGGATGACACTTGGATCAACATGGCTGCCTCTGCCCTAAAATGCAAAGTTGGGAAAACCCCCTTCATTTACCTAGGGCTCCTTGTTAGAGGAAACCCTCACCACCATTCCTTTTGGAAACCCATGATTGATAAGTTCCGATCTAAATTGGCATCTTGGAAAGGAAAGCTTCTTTCAATTGATGGTCGTATCACGCTTCTCACCTCGGTACTTTCTGCTCTACCTCCCTCTACTTCTTTATCTTCAACGTTCCAAAAGGCATCTTAAAACAGCTCATTAGAATACAAAAATACTTTTTATGGGGGGTCTCAGAGGAGTCTAAGAAGATTGCATGGGTAAACTGGGAAATGGTATGCCTAGCTAAAAGTAAGGGAGGTCTTGGCATTCCAAACCTTGCTACTAAAAATACTGCTCTTTTAGGAAAATGGTGGGACAAGTTTGATGATGATGCTGAAAATGAGAAACTGTGGAAGAAGATTACTATCAGCAAGTATTATAGTAGCATTTCAACTGTTTCAATCACTAACACTACATCTTCAAAAGTTTCTACAATTTGGAAGGATATTTTATCTATTAGCAGGGATTGTGAAAGAAACACAAAGTGCTTCTCCAAAGGTTTCTCATGTTAGCTTGGTGATGGCCATAAAACCAGATTTTGGAAAGATATCTAGGTGGGAACTTCTCCACTAATGCTTGCTTTCCCTCATCTATTCAAGCTCACTCTTGGCGAGGAATTATTGGTGGCTGACCTAAAACCAACCAAGAATGAAGGCTGGAATCTCAAATGGCGCAGACCTCCTTTTAGAAGAAAACTAGATGAGCTTCAAATCTTGGAAGACATCTTGCAAAATATCAACATATCTATAGGAAAACCTGATCAAACTGTATGGAAGCATTGCCCTACTAGTTATACTACAAAAATGGCATATCTTTTCCTTGATGCGTCTACCCCTTGTCTGGACAAAAGCTACTGCAAGCTAATATGGAGTCATCTTATGCCCACAAAAGTTAGTGTCTTCGCTTGGCGTCTTCTATTAAATCGCCTCCCCACAAAGGACAACCTTATTCAACGTGGTATTGACTTGGGATCAAGTATAGCTTGTGTGCTATGCAATAGTTATTTAGAGGATGCAAATCATGTTTTTGCCACATGCAGCTACTCTCAAAGTATTTGGAGTCGCATATGCTGTTGGTGGGGCTTCTCTTTTGTTTCTCCCAACAAGGCCCTTGAATTGCTTGCTCAACTTTGCTCACTCTCAACCCCTCAGGATGTTACGGACTGTTGGGTCCTCTCCATTCTTACTACTGCTTGGGCCATCCGGTATTTTAGAAATGGAATTGCTTTTGAAAAATTTGAATGGGATAAGGACAAATTAATTGAGCTAGTGAAGACCAAAGCATTCGCTTGGATAAAAGGTAAAATGAAATCTGTTGCTTTTTGTTTCAGTGATTGGTGTCAATTTCCAATTTTATGTATTGCTCATTCTTAAACTTAATGCAGTGCACATCTTAATGTAATGGCGAGTACCTCTTGTACTCACAATTTATAATACCTTTTTACTCATCAAAAAAATTTTTTTTTTTGCTGTTTGTATTTCATTAAACTATCAAATAAGAAGTATTGAATGGAGGAGGACAGCTCTCAATACCTAGGACTCATCTCATCCAATATTAAAAGTTGTCCTCTCCCATCTAATGGTTAAAATGTTTTTTAAATATATATTTTAAAAGCACATGTTAATAGTTTATTAATTATATACTTTTTTTTACAATTAACTTGCATAAAAATAGAAGTTAATTTTAAATTTATCAATTATATAATTAAAATCATTCACATGGTATTGGTGTTAAAAAAAATATTTACTTTTTCATTTCTTTCCAAATAGTTATTGCAAAAGGTGCAGTTAAAGCAACCTTAGGGCACAATCTAAAAAAATCTTGACTTAAATTATGTAGTCCAATGTGATCTAGATTACAGATAATTTTTTGTCTTTTTGTATATATAAAGTTTATTAGTTGGACTAGCAAAAAATTAAGTGAAAAAATATTTCCAAAATGCATCTATTTTAATAAAATATCACCAAAAAAAAAAAAACACTAAAACAATATTTGTTTCCTCAAAAATCTTCAAGTGGCTTTATTCCCATGAGGCAACCTTCGGTTGCCAAAGTGTCACATGCTTTGTTGTAAAGCAAGAAAATAGGATTTTCCCAACCACCCTTTTTGTCCACATGGTTGACCTCTATTAGGATGGGTGAAAAAAAATTGGTTATAAAGTTGAGTTAAGTGCCTTTAAATAATTTGCAAGAGAGAGGGATGCTTTTTTGCAAAATGAGTTACTAATTGTCTTGGACAGCTTTAAGGACTTTAAAATATTACCGCAAATTTAAAGCTTAAAAATCTAAAATAAAATGAATGAAACATAAACTAACAAATTATTGGCAGATTTATCTAAATCATTGTAGAACTATAAACGTAAATGGACTTAAATCTAGAGTAAAGTTACTTAATCATGATTTTTAGGCAAAAAAAAGATTGAAAGTATGATGAACATGAATGAGAGGTGTGAAGGTCATATAAGTTGACGTTTAAAGAAATGACACTTATCTTAAAATTACTAAATAAACAAAGAGATTGTTGTAGAAGTTAGAATTAACCTAAATCTAACGGGAAGTTGTGCTAAAAACTAAAATATAAGAGTTATGTGAACAATAGCTGTACAACTGGAAAATTGAATTTGATGAGTTGTGTGTAGGGTTGGCCGTTTGTTGCTTGTTCTAATTTTTTATTTCTTTTATATGTCTCTAGGTAGATTGTAACCACTCACTCCCATATGTGCAGATTATGACAGACTTCATAAGTTAATTGGACAACTCAACAGCAGACCTGGTCAAAATCCTCTCCAAAACTTGCCACTTGTCTACCACTTCACTCACTTGCTAAATTTGGCCTACAACTTCTCTTAAAATTTAGCCATGATCTCCACTAACGTTAAATAACACTAGGCAAATAAGAGATAATTGTCAAAAATACCAAATCTAGTCAAACACATGGCAGCCATTAGCCAAATCTAGTTTGAGGTAGCTTAATCTTAGTCACCATTTCAAACAATGTGATACATGGCATCATTAGATAAATTTATAGTTTATAGTGTAAACAATATTATTCTTGCATGTGACTTGCTTTTGTAGGAAAAGTAGGAAAATGATTTGTTGACTACCCTTTTCTTCTATTTGATTTTTCCTTGTGAAAGGACTGTTGGAAGAATGTTGTTTGAAATGAATTGCACCTTGAATCACACAATTGACAGAAATAAGGATTAATTCTTGCACAATTAACTCAAGCTTACCTTGAAAATTCGTTAAGGACTTTGATTACAATAAACATATATAAAAAAATAAATTAATTAAAAATACCGAGAACAACTATACTAAAAGATAAGTGTTGGAAATTAATAAAGGTGCAATAACTATAGCTAACAGGAAATTTAAATTGTTGACATAAAATCAAAGAACTAGGACCATGAACTTGCTCAAAGCTTAAAGTGCAATGAAATGCGTAAGCTCGGCAAAATGTAAATCGCGATATAATATTAAGGACTAAAGCAGCTAATTCCTGCAAAATACTTGGAAACATAAATCTAACAAAAATATGTGAACGGGTGGAAATCTAGAAAGTGCAGTAAGTTAAAAATCCAATCAATTTGTAAATTGCAACGAGAATGTAAAAAACCTTAAATTTGAAGGAAATTGTAGACATACTTGAATTAAAATCAAACAATTAACAATTGAAATGTTGAGGAGAAGCAAATAATAAAATAAGGTGCTCTAGAGATTAATCTTAACAAAAATTAAATCAACAATGCAATGGATTCTGTTGGGGAATGCTGTCTTACTTTTGCCAGACTATGAATCTAAAGAAAATTTGTTGAAAGTAATTTTGAACTACAAGAAAGTTAAGTAGATTAAATTAAATTAAGATATATTCTGTAAAGTATCGGATTTCAAAAAGTAAAGTGATTTGTCGAAAGGGGCAAGCCTAAAAACTAAAAATTGTGTCAAAAACTGATAGCCCTCCATTACTGCACTTATTTTGCCAAAAATCTTGACCTTGATTTTTACCACCTTCCATGATTGAACATGATCTAAACAACTCCAAAACTAACTCCGTTCCTCGATCATTTGAATGCCAAAAGCAAAATTTCGGTAGCCAAAAAACTTAGGATTATGCTTGTTGGAACTGCCTGGATTGCTATTGATTTTCTCTACTGACCCAAGCATCATTTGTTTGCTTTTGATTCCTAAAATCTATTGATCTAAGCCGCACCAATAGAAGAAACCAATTGAATTGGATTGAAATAGTGCCTTAAAATGGGTGAGCATGGCTAAGTATGGATCAAGTATTTGCTCGTATCTGTACTTGACTTGAATAATAATAGGTACAAGATTTTAATACCTAATACTTATCTAGGTATATGTATACCTAGATATACCTATATACTTGTTAAATTTTATACTAAAAATACATAAGTTAATATACAATTACAAGTTTACACATATAATACCAGTTTACATATAAAATAAAATACATGAGTAGATACACTTACACATAAATAAGTTTATGTGTACAATAATAAAAGAAATATAAACACAAATTCACATGAATTTTTTTAGCTGAATCTTCACTACCAAAAGAAAAGAAAAAAAAACATAAATATTTTAATTTTATAATATTATATTATAAATTAAGCATATAATATGGGTCATATATATAGGTTAGATATATGGGTCATAACTACAAATTAGACATACATATCAGGTATGTAGGTATGAACCCTTATACACAATACTTATCCAATATTTAGCAAGTATACATTTTCATATCTGGTATTTAACCATTTTTTAATAGATATAAGTAAAATACCTACCTAATTAAATCAAGTACTTATATATATATATATATAGGCATACCCGATACTCAGTGTCACCTCCAATCTGTGAACTCCAAAAATATGGTCCAAACAAAACCCATTCCAATAAAACCCATGAAATATCTTCGGGCCTTGTCTCCTTATATAGGCTCAATTCATCTTCCCTGTTTTAGACCTAACGTGCATTGAATTTAAGCCTAACTTCCAAAGAAATGGACTTGAACTCCATGGGCCCAATTAATCGAACCCAAAAAAATACCAAAACTTCACCCATCAGAAACATCATCCTTATAACCACGAGTGGTAGTACCAAAAATATTCCCAAAATAAGCATTAATGCATTATTTCAGAGCTAATTAGTTTTTAGCAA